TGGGCGAGGTAGAGGCTTCATGTTATGTTTTCCGGCTTCATCTTGTCTTTGACGGATAGCAGCGGGTCTCGAGGGATTTCTGATCGAGCTCAATTGATGCTCTCCACATGAGATTGTTCGTGCATCGCAAATCGGGGGATTGTGAGAGGGGGACACTATCTGGTCCGATGTGGAAGGGTGGAACGCCTGCGACGTAGCTTTCCCCCGCAGCTCCGCGGCCATTGCGTTTCCCATCCGGCGAGCCGTGCCGCGATATTCATTTAGATCTTTTTCTGCCGCAGAGGTCACATGTGCTCCCAATCGCGATCTAGACACACAGCTCGAGACCCTCAGCGGGCGGTCCGTCGGAATCTCGCCACATGGCAACTCTTTGAGCCCCGAGCCTCAGTGAGCTCAGTTCAGCCACTCCAGCTCATGTTTGACGCCCCTCGAGGGATCCGCGTTTGGAATCGACGTCAGCCGTTCATGAGGCTTTCTTCGCGCTGGAATCAATGCGCCGACGAAGTTATCGGATCAGAATCTCTGCTGATTCGTCTGATAAGGAATCGGTCGGGACTTGGACCCTCGGTCGATTACGTGAAGAATCTTCGCGGCAGCGAGAGCCTGGATCTAAGCCTGATCAGCTCGATCTCATCTTCCCGCACCGCGCATGAGAGCGCTGGAACCGACTCTCGCTAGGGCGGCAATGAGCCCGGGCGTTGTATCGTTCCATTCGACGCTAGAAAATCGGCGCCACTGATCGATTGAGGCTCGGAGGGGGCACGTACACGTATGGCGAAATCAGTATCGATTCCTAGCCTCAGTTCTAGCTGGCGACCGCCTCCTAAGAACAGCGGGCGATGCCGGAGGTCTCTCGTGAAGTCCGATTCTCAGAAGCTCCACATTCCGCTCCACTATTTCCTGCGATGGAGTCTCTTCCTGAGCCCGAAGCTTCGCCGATCCGCCATTTCCCAGAATATCACAAACGCGGGGAATGCGGTTGAGAGGCCCGCTCTGAAACTTCTTTCTGCTCCCGAAGTCGCGGTAGGCGGGGGCTCGAGCAACTTGAGCAACCCCGCGTCGGCGTCGCTGCCCCGTGGTGTATTCCTGCCGCAACATGCCTTCGCTTGTTCTTGCTTAACCTAATGAGGGTCGAGAATCGACGTGTCGTTCCGGCCTCCATTGGAGGATCCGGAGCCTCCGATTCTGAGTCCCGCTCAAGGTGACTAAGCAGTGAGAGAATTCACCGGAATACAGCACGACCTCGATGGAAACATGAATGGGAAGAAACATTCAGTCGTATGACGATATAGCGGACTAGGGTCGAGTATATAAATAAATAATCTGCCTTGTCGCAACAGCAGAGAGGCCACAGGTCGGGGTGGGCACTTCGCGAGCATCAATGTTGGATGTAGGATTGCCTGAACAAAAAAAAAGGGTTCCGTACTGGTCTTTCGAGCAAATTATCGGACATCGGCAGATTATCTGCGTGGGCTCTGGACCGATTTACTCCGAGACAACTCGTTTCAACCTTTCCCGGAAAAACTTATTGCTCGGCGGAGCTCCTCCGAGCCGCAGTGATTATTGTGCGCGTGGACGAGCAACCGTCCCGATCGAGCCCGGGCAGGCCCGCGATCATGTGCTAAGAAAGTGACGGCACACGCGGTAGACTGCCTTAAGATTGTTTTCTGTCCTCGCTGAAGAATATCAGAGATCAGGATAAAACTCAAATTCAGAAACCTGAACCTGGGGTTCTCAGACCTGTGGCAGTTTTTTTTCGCCGCCGGCGAGGGATATTGTTCCGACCGAAAGGGGTGGAACTCGAATATGAGCCGCCGAAGGGGCTCGCACCGGGGCTGCTCGTGCTCGCGAATGACACGTCACTGGTCCTGAACGTTTCAGATATTCGGCTCTCCGACACACTACCGATGACTTCTAGACTTTCTCTTGACTATCGCTCAAAGGAGAACAACATCGGTGCTCTCTCCTCTCTGAGAGACCATGTACAGTAAAAGCTCGTTACTACGAACACGAAGGGACCGACGAAACTGGTTCGCTGTACCGAGCTTTCGCTGTAACGAATGCCGCTCAACACTACCCCTATGGCGAGCTGGCCGAAGCAGGAGAAATTCCTTGTTCGTTGTACCGAGAAATTCGTTGTAATGGGGGTCGTTATAACGAGCTTTTACTGTATCGGAATCTCTCCAAGTCGGCGGGGACTGGATTTTCAAAAGCAACGCATCACACCCCGTCCGCACCCGAGACGTATGTATCACAGAATCTGGAGAGACAGTAGACGCCAAAAGGCGCGTGAGCCGGAATTCCATGAGCGGAATCGAAGACGTTGTCGATGACTTGAGCTGTGATATAACAGGACACAACGATATTTCCCGCTTCTTTGAGTTTTCCAGAACAAGTTCGCGGCTTTCCCGACAGAAAAGCGCTAATTTCGATTGGAATTTCAATGTTCTTTCGCTATCGGGACCGAGGTCATGACGGCATCCGCACGACCGTGAGCCGAGGAGTGTTTTGAGAGCACCCCCCCCCCCGTTAGAGAATCGTCTCTGGATAATATGGATATTGAAGTCCGCAAGAATGCTGTGTATCGGGGGAAAAGTCGGCGAGTAGGAATGATCTTTTTCAATAAGCTCAAAACATGCAATGAAGTAACCACGTTCATGTCCGCGCGGACATCGCTCTTCAAGAGTTTAGGAGTCAAATGCCCTCCCATATCGCAACTCTGGCCATGACGGATGAGGTAATCCGCTCGTACGACGTAGTGTCTGGTACTGCACCGTCATCCAGAAGGCCCGGTTCAGGTTCTGGGTTGGCCATCAGTCTTCCTGCGCTCGCGGTGTGGATTCCGCGCACAACGTTCTATGAGGAGGAGCATGACCTCGAGATCCCTGGCCTGGGGCTCAACGATCCTGAAGCCGCTGATGGCTCACTAACCCGCCACGGCTGTAAGGTCGAGCGTCGAGTGCGAAATCCAGAAAAAACTCCGCCCCCCGCGCTCGGGAGCGCGTCTCGATCTGCTGTGTCTTCCACCAGAGGGCAGACGGAGTTTCCTAACCTTCGGGCGCGATTGACCACCGCCGTCCGGCGACGCACCGTTCACTTCAGCTGCTGCTCCGCTTGAGCCCTCCCACCGGTCCAGAGGACGCCGCGCAAGACTCCTGCTCCTCCAGAGGCGTCATAGGTCGGCAGTGCAGTCACACGGAAGCGTCTCTAGCTGCCGGGTCCTTCCAGTGGCCGTCTGCTGATGCATGCTATCTACATACTAAAGAGCGAGCGACACCAGTAGCCGCTGCGACTAGAAGCGGTCTTGGGCCGGTTCTGCTCTCCACTTTCAGAAAGGGCTCGGCTAGAGCGGCACCTGTTCGAACAAGTCGGCTTCAGACCTATTCGAGCCCCAGATCGTCCGATACTGACAGTTTCTGAAGTCAAGTGTGCCATATACTTGGTCCTCGTTCCAACTCTACCGTCGCAATGAATGCTTAGGAGAAGTCGGAAGTTCTTCCACCGGGAGGAGTCCGTTGTTGGAACCGGCTCGGTGATTGGACACACGAAGTCGCTCAGATGAACCCGATGACAGCAGGGTGCTCTGAACTGGAAGTCATAGATGATTATCTACAAGAACATGGCTTCGGAGGTGAGTGTATTCGACCAATGAAACGATTCTTGAATGGTAGCTATCGACTCGTAATTCAGCAATTTCAGTTTAGAGTGCTTAGGTTGCTCGATTCGATTGACTGGGTCGAGATCTGCGCCAAGTGGCTTAAGGGCGCGCCGGTCTACAGATGTCCCGTTATTCAATGAGATCGAGAGTCTAGTTTCCTGATCCTCGGATTTTAATTTTCTATATCACTGCTCGCCCCGAGGATACCTTGCATGTCGATCAGTTGGTGATTCGACATCACCAGCTCGAAGCGGAGTAGTCCATGTGTTTGTTTTGGGGCCTAGGAGCGAGCTTCGCGTAGGTCACCGCACCCTCCCCGAAAGCCCCATCGCGAAGTCTCAGTCTGTCGGGACATGCCCAGGGGTACGACAAGCTTTTCTGCGAGGATGCCCGAGGGGATCTGGATCGCTCTCAGCTAGAGGAGGATTGAAGATTATGTTCTCTTTCTGGAGTGATACCTTCGGTTTCCATCCACGGAGCGTCTCTTCGCTATGCTGATTTTGTAAGAATGATGCAATCGCGCTGGGACTCAGCGAGGCACCGGAGCTCTCGAGGAACTGCAGAAACACTTTCGTTCCCAACACCAGGTGCATATCGGGATATCGTTCACAAATGTTAGAATATTCTGCAGACTGTGTCGAAGCTCGAGGACTCTTCCATGAGTCATCGGCCATCGCCCACCGCAGTCGGTCTTTCGGCGGGTCCCTTCGAAGGGCTCCGGTGAATGATGGAATCTCAACTCAAATAGAGCGATATAGCAGAATTTTAATTTGATTAGCTTTGCAATTGTAGAACAACAAAATTATTCTAATTCTTGGAATGACAACGTCAAGACCTAGGCGGAGCTTGAAGCTAACGAGCTTTCCTCCCTGAACAGCTCCCGGGGTCCTTCCACCCCAATCGGGCAGTCTGTTCCCGCTCGAGCCCCGGGCGTCCAGAAAAGAATTCGATCCACATTTCCTGAATACATCAGAACTTCAGAATTACCCCGGCTCATTCAACTTTGAGGTGAGATAGTCTTTCTTGAAGCTTGAAAGCCCGCCGAAAATGGGGGTGGCCCTTCACGCCTTATTCTTCTTCGCAGGTCTCGGTGGTCGACCTAGTAGACCAAAGACGTGGCAAAGCTTACGTGTACACGCCCGAACTCAAGCGACTTTATTCTGTCTCGGTGGAACCCGTTGCCTTCGCGGTAAAAGTGTCTCCGGATGTTCCTCCGAATTGCGGGATGTATGTTTTCGCTATCTATGCCGAGGAACGTTACCGTTCAGAGAATGTCGTGACTTGCGCGTACCACCGGGACTCGAAGGATTTCGACGAAAACGATAATAGTGAGTATCCATCATTCCCTCGGGCAAGGATCCAGAGAAGATGCTGTTTATTGAACCGGAATAGTTTTTCCTATAATGCGTGGACTCTGTACAGATTCGCCGCTGCCTTCCAGGTGAAAAAGGGTTCCTTCGTGCCGGTAAGGGCCTGCAGGTGAACTATCTGTCGATAGGGGTTCCAGCCCGTGATGTTTTACTGTTTCCGCTCCCGCCAAATCCTGCAAATCAGGTGATACCGTTAAAGTTCATGTGCAGGAACAGTTGCCAGGGCGGAATCAATCGACGAGCGACAAAACTTGTCTCAGTTTTGTGCAATAGCAGCAATGACACCCTCGGTGTGGCCGTCATTGATTTCAAAATCGTTACGGTGCCCAGCCGAGACTGTGCACGAGATGTGCAGGGCGGGAAAGGCACTAAGCCCAAAGGGAAAGTTGCCTCGACCAAGAGACCTCGTAGTGAAACCGATGCTGCCTCCTCTGATTCGGAGGAGTATGTGATCCGAGTGCGGGGCGCCAAAAACTACCTTCTGCTCAAAGCAGCGGCCGAAGGCCTCGACTTGCGCCGGAAGGCTCGCAGAGAGAAGAAACCAAAAAATCAGGATTCCCAGGGGTTTCCACCTGATCTCATTTTGTAAACACCGGTATGCAGACGTGCCATGGTACTCACGCTAGAATAACCTAATGTCAGAGCCGTACTCCGAGCATTTTTCGTTTGTCGAGCTCTCTTCCCTCCCACGACAGCTACGAGAGACGAATATTCGCTGACTATCGCCAGATTGGTTGTTACTTGTCATTCTCCAGCGTCATAGAGCTCCATTGCTTCTTGAAGCCATGGATAGATTGACGGTTGTTGACGACTAATCCTTGAGCATACGGGCTCAAACATCATCTTATAATCAATATCCAATATCTCTCCAATGGGACCACATGCTGAGATACGTATGAGCATACGGTCGAGGGCAGCGGAGCTTCATCTACTGTGAAATTGACGATTAACGTAGGATGTTTCTCATTATTGGAATCGGGACGCGTCGAGTTCCTCTGGGACATCAAGAGACGAATTTCTGCACCACCTCGGTATAGATTAGTTTTTGCTATTTGTGGACGAACTTCACGGATATACCGGACTCGTTCGCTCCTCCCCAAATATTCGAACAAATTGTATCCATTTCATCGCTAGTTGTTTAGGAATCAAATTTTTCGGCTCTGCCCCAAACCGGTTTTGGAGTTCGGATCGATTGAGAGGAATAGAAATTAATCAACTAATTTCAAGCATCTCATGTCTTTCTGTGGGCGACATTGAGCCGGAAGGAATCAAAGACGGAGCGGAGAAAGACGTGAATAACGCTTGAATTGAGGAGAATCAAAAATTCGGTGAGATGAGCCTTTTTTCGGACTCTCACTGTTAGCAGACGACGGATAACCCACGATGTGATTCAATCCGTAGTGCCAAGTCCCATATAAGTGAGAAAAGAAAGGAGAGAATACTTTTTAGCCCTCTTCGCCTCGCTGCTAATCGGGGATGTATCGACTGGCGCTCGATTGTGATCATACGATGAAAGCGAGGATAATGATTCTTGAAGATGAGCGGAGAATCAGTGCTCCTGGTGTAAGAGTATTCTCTTCTTGATGATACTAGCCCTATTATATATTTCAATTGCATTCGTTACTAGTACGCAATTAACGAGTTCGGGACGTCGAACGTACTGAGCGCGCCCTGTTTGGATATGTCGGAGAAACAGTATTCTCATAGTGATTTCTATACACATACCTAGCCTGTTTGCGAATCCAATGGGGCATTTTGATACGAAGAAGAATGATTCTCCCGGATAAATAAAAAGCTCATTTTAAACTCACGATCTTCCGAACTTATCTTTTATTCAGAACTAGAAAGTCATCTCGATCAAGGCACGAAACTATGGATCGCATCGAAGATACCAAACTAATTCACCGAAAAACCTCCGGACCGCGTCGTCGACCCCGACCAAAAAATAGACAACATACAGGAATCGGAAATGCGGAACGTCAAAGATATCTCTGTATCATTCATCGATTTGTGCCGCGCCAAACCTAGGATCGATTCCTGATAATCATTTTTCATTAGCTTTCGGCTCTGTGACTTGAGTCTTTGGTGTTTCGGAAGTTTTGTGGTTCTTACCTAGAATTTTTTGAGCGTCGTTCGCAGCCTCTTCGAGGCTGACATAAATGTTCGTCTCCTTCTTCGCGTTTGGATCTGTGAAGACAGTGGGAACAGTTTGCGACGGACGGGCCCCGAGAACTCTAGTCAAGTGACGGATCTCCGCCTCTTGCCGTGAAACTGTTATTTGAAGTTCCTCCATATCATGTGTTAGTCTGAAACGGGCTTTCGTAGAGCGCGAAGATGAGGGATCGCAATTGATACATTTGAGAATGTTCGGCCAAAAACCTCACCTGTGATATCTGTCTTCTTTGAAATTCTCCTCGTTTCTGGCGTTTCGCGACTGTCGGACGTACTCCGCAATGATCGTCCCCGCAGCAATTGTGAAAATTATACATTCTCCGAGAAGCTCTGCCCCTAGCTCGATGGCCTCGACTTCTTTCAATGGTTTGACAGCCGACGGTTTCCCCAAGTTGAGCAGTCTCATTTTGACATTAACCTCGCACCAATGATAGAGTTGTGCAGGCGGCATGCAAACGTGTTTCCGGAAGAACGGGGAACTTTTGGCTTTAACTTTAAGTCGAGCGGCGAGTGGCTTCGACAACTGTCTCATCGCCAACGCCGCAAGCTTGGCGATCGGGAAAGCGCCGACAGCCATTCTCTGTACCGAAAACCGTGCGCCCGAATAAATTCTGTGTCCCGCTGGTTGGGAGAGAACCGATCCGACACCTGAAAATTTCAATTCTAACTGGTGAGTGAGAGCTGATGCACGCGAAGGGTGGAGATGGACGGATGCAGCAAGACCTTTGTCGCGAGGGAATTTTCCACCGTACTCGGTTGTTTTCGCATAGAAAATCAGCTCGATCGAGGGAATTATCAAGGTCGATAGAGGGACCGAACAATCTCCGTATCGCTCAGCTCAGGAGTATTGCTATTCGCCCAGTCGAGCACAACGAGTCCGGAGGCCGGTTTCAGCGCGCTCCAGAGGGGACCTATTCTCTCGGAAGGGCCTTTGATGCCGGGTCGGGCGCCAAAACGAAAGGGAGAATGCACACGGGATTTCAGATGATCGTAGGAGAATTCGCCCAGCAGGAATGTTCGGTGTGATCGATCAGACAGCGGAATGTTTCCCGTCTAGATAAAAGGAGCGCTTACCGTCGAGACGCGGGAAAGAGATCCTTACGATTCCCCCTTGAAATATTTGGTAGTACTCCTGACAGAGAGGGCAATTCAATAGATACAGGACTCGAGTTGCGGACGAAAATGACCGGACGTTGTCTCTCACAGACGTAGAACACGATGGAGGTCGCGCATACCGTACAACGAGAGAAGGCTAAAGAACATTCCAAGGGTTTTCACATTCTTCCATTCGTCGTGCCTGAGCGCGTCCAGAGATTCCACAAGACCAAGGATAATACGGTAGGTACTTCGCACAGCTTAGTGAGCTATTTTACCGAGACTCAGGATGACCAAGGCTCTCCGTCAGGAGCGTAGCGTCTGCTATGTTTACTAACAGAAGCCATATGGCCGGGAAGCACGTTTATCAGATGAGCCGAAATTAGTCTTGTGCTTGCCGATATAAGTTATCGTACAAACGCTGGATTGAGGAGAAGTGCTAATTCCGCCTTCACGGCGCCTCCGTCTCTCCTCGTTTCCCTTCAAGCGCAGCCATGGGGCCGCAACGGAGAGGTGAAGTGAAGGCTGCGCTCTCGTCAGAGGAGTCGAAAATGATCGTCATTTCAGAAATTATTCAGGAACTGGTCCTCGCACACAACGAGAAACGCGATGTCAACCTGAACAGAGTCAAGTGCGACGCCTCCGCGAGGCATGGCATGAAATCGCAGCCCAAACTGGTGGACATAATCGCCGCCATCCCTCCGCAGTACAAAAAAATCCTCCTGCCGAAACTGAAAGCCAAGCCCGTGCGGACAGCAAGTGGCATTGCTGTCGTCGCGGTCATGAGTAAACCTCACCGCTGTCCCCACATCAACTACACCGGGAACATCTGCGTCTACTGCCCGGGAGGTCCCGACTCGGATTTCGAATACTCGACGCAGTCTTACACCGGGTACGAACCGACTTCGATGCGCGCGATACGGGCTCGATACGATCCTTTCCTCCAAACGCGCCATCGGGTCGAGCAATTGAAGCAGCTCGGGCACGATGTCGACAAGATCGAGTTCATCGTGATGGGTGGAACTTTCATGTCGTTGCCCGAGGATTATAGAGACTACTTCATCCGGAGTCTCCACGATGCGCTGTCCGGTCACACGAGCTCAAATGTGGATGAAGCTGTCAAGTATTCCGAGCGTTCAAAGACGAAGTGCATCGGAATAACCATCGAGACACGGCCGGACTACTGTTTGCAACGGCATCTATCAGACATGCTGAGGTACGGATGCACGAGGCTAGAAATCGGAGTCCAGAGCGTCTACGAAGACGTGGCCAGGGATACGAACCGCGGGCACACCGTCGCTTCTGTATGCGAGACTTTTCACATGGCGAAAGACAGCGGATTCAAAGTTGTCACTCACATGATGCCGGATTTGCCGAACGTGGATTTCGAGAGAGATATTCTGCAATTCGTCGAACTATTCAAAAACCCGGATTTCCGAATGGACGGACTCAAAATCTATCCCACACTAGTCATTCGAGGAACGGGCTTGTACGAGCTCTGGAAAACCGGGAGATACGCGAGTTATCCACCTGCTCTGCTCGTGGATTTGATCGCCCAAATTCTCTCTCTCGTTCCGCCATGGGTGCGAATTTACCGAGTGCAGAGAGACATCCCGATGCCCTTGGTGAGTTCCGGTGTCGAAAATGGGAATCTCAGGGAACTGGCATTGGCGCGAATGAAAGATCTCGGTTTGGTCTGCCGAGATGTTCGTACTCGGGAGGTCGGTATCCAAGAAATCCACAACAAAGTCGTTCCCTATCATATCGAGTTGATCCGGAGAGACTACGTCGCTAACGGGGGTTGGGAGACTTTCCTGGCCTATGAGGACCCTCATCAAGACATACTCGTGGGTCTACTGCGCTTGCGGAAATGTTCTTCAGAGCAAACATTCCGACCCGAGTTGATGGGTCAGCAGTGCTCGATAGTTCGTGAACTCCACGTGTACGGGAGCGTGGTCCCAGTACACTCGAGGGATCCGACTAAGTTCCAGCATCAGGGGTTCGGCACACTCTTGATGGAAGAAGCAGAGCGGATCGCTCGCGAAGAACACAACTCGACGAAAATTGCAGTCATCTCGGGCGTCGGCACTCGGAATTACTACAGAAAACTCGGATATCAGCTCGATGGCCCTTACATGTCGAAATCGCTCGTCTGAAGGCGCAATCACTTGACATAAGACCGACTGATTTTGTGATAATTCTCGCAGGGGGACTTCGCAATAAAAATGTTCCTATGCAAAAGATTCAGTAAACTCATTAGGAATGCGGAGAAGTTTGTCTCGAGGCAGTATCATGCCTCATAGCTGGGTGAAGAGAGAGGTTCCGGGGTTGGAGGGAGGGGGAGGGGCGCAACGCTCTGCGAGCGTGTGGAGAAATTTGGCTTCCTGGGTGGAGACTTGCCCGAGTGCCACAATGTGAGAATCGAAATGCTAGCCTTGAACGTGCACTAAAGGTTCCGCAAGGATCACAGACGACGGTCGGCGCCTACATGATGGCAGATTCGTTCGGGGAGGCCCGATGAATTCTGCGATGGGACTGGATGATATACCAACATACATCCCCGATAATCTAGGTAGAATAGGCTAATATTCAGCACGACTGTTAAGCGACATCGAGAGGAAGCCCGGCCGATTCCAGGAGACTGTTGTGCAGGACAGTATTTATTCTCCCGAAGAGCTCCGCGAAAACGAGGATGCTGGGAACTCATCGGTCTTCCCTAATACCGACGATGGTTATAGTAATTATGTCAATATTATAGTAACGTGAATATAATGATAGCAAACAGTATAGGGTATTCGCGCGGACTGTCTGTGGAGATATCCAGGATTGTGTCGACCGAACGGAGGCCATCGGCAAAATGCTATAAGGCAACAGGGATTACTGAAGAGTGGAAGATTGCCGTGACACTTCGACCTCTGCTACCGATATCGCTGAGCGGAAAAACGCAGATCTCATCACCTGCTTCTTAGTCTACTCTCGTGTCTACGATCGGGTAGACAGGGCACGACTCTGAGAAGTTGTGGGGAGAAGAGGCATACAACTAGGCTTACAACTAGGGGCTGGCAGGTGAGCCCAAGAGCCTATGCGCCGCTGTTGAATCCACTGACGGAGCGCGTTCCACGATCGAGGCGCGAAGAGCGAAAAGAACGCTGATGTATCTGGCCACAATCAATGAGATGAGCGAGACGAGGTGGCCGTGGGCGGCCAGCGCGATGATGAGGATTGCAATAATTGAATTCACCGAACTTCGAAAGAGAAGTCTGGAAATTAAAAGTAAGATCGGATGCAGAAATATCCGAATCACCAACCCACCTACCTACCTACCTGCCTAGATAAGTCTCGGTGTTCACTAGAAATACGTGAACGAAACAATGAAAAACGACCAAGACTACATCGAGAGAATGTCCGAAAAGACATCCCTAAAACGGCACAGGACTTTCACAACGGTGCGGAAGAAGATGTTGGAACACATTGCTTTCGTGTCGAACATCTTCCGAGCTGAGGAAAAGAAAAACATCGACAATCGATCGGACGTACAAATCACGAAAACGGATCCGTCAGCGACTGACTGAGCCATCGCCCCTTGTGCCAGGGTCTCCCTGTATTCGGAAACTTAAATTTTTTAGAGGAGGGTCAATGAACAAGGAATAAAAGCGTACTGCCGGGGTTGAACCAGAGACTTCCGGAAGGCGAGGAAGGTTCGAAGAGAAAGGGGGTTCGCACCATGCGTCTGCGAGCGATGTGTGGATCGCTCGCGCTGGCACCGCCCAGCTATCAGTCAGTCGGCAAAATAGGAGCTCTCTCAGGTGTGCCTGATAGAGATGGTGGCCCAGCTCATTGATTCGTTCGGCCTTATTCGGCGCTAGATCATGCTCTGGGATCCGAAGACGTGGAGCACCCTCACTCAGATTGGGCGCTGATGACAACCCAAGACCAATTGATTCTCGCCTGAGATTTTGAGACTTCTCCTTGAACTCAGCGGGAGACCTTGACCCGCGTCTCGGCTTGGAGCTCTGACCACCGATCGCGGGATTGCAGCGATTTGGAAGGATCATCGTGGTCTGGTTTACCCTAATACTGAGCCATCCTGGCGGTTGCTGGAGTTTTCGTTGAAAGTTTTGAAGGGGGCTTGGGCTAGGACACGAGATTCACTGGGCCCGGGCTGTCCGAGAGATTATTGTGGAGAATCGGAATTACGAGACCATTTGGATCCCCAAGAGAAGTCATTGGGAAGTCCTCAGAAAGAGAGGTATGAGAGAGCGGTCGCCGAAGAGCTTCATTGATCTTCGTTCTGTCAATCAGGTCCTTCCCTCTATTCCACAATCTTCGAAGACATGTAGATGAGCGACTACCCCTCAGAGGCGAGCCATTGCGTTGCATCGAAATCGCTCCCGTGTCGCGCCGCCAGTCCGGAAGCACCCTCTTCACTCGCTTCGATGACGTCTGCGGAAATTGCTGGGTCCCCTTCCGAGTTCCCATATGCACTCCCGATATGATCTTCTCGTGGTATGGCTGACTTCTCACGAATATCTCAGCGGAACAGTCCCTCTGAGCCCCCCTCTCGGGTCTCCTCTCTCGCCCTCAATCGAGTTCACGGAACCTCGGATATATTCGTGTTGTTGTCCGATTCGAGTGATATGCCCGTGTACATGCGTATAGGCACTTTGCTCTCTTCCGAGCTCCTCTGATCTCTCACCTCCTCGGATGACCGAAAGTCGGGAACAATACAAGTTCCATCCATCCACCTTCTTCTCCGATAGAGCATTCCATCAAGCGGGAAGTGTTTGGTACACCCGAGAGTTCTACCTGGCTCGGAGAACGTATCCGACAGACCGAGTAGACAATCGAATATTGCGGTAACTTTTCTTTCAGAGGAAGGCAAACGGAACGTGGAGAATGAAACATCATCGGGCCTACAAGATGGGTGGTAGCAGCTCGGTCCTTGCTCGGTCCCCGAGGGCTTTGCGAATGGAAGATATGATCACCGTTTTATAGTCATCTCAAAACCATATGGATTTCCATGTTCTAAGATTTACGGGAAATACCCGAGATGGCAGAAATCATGGTTCCAGCAGGAGACCTGGATATTGCGCAGGCACGGTCCTCCCATGGATTCCAAGATTTGAGTCAATGCACTCAAGCCGCCGACGGATATATGCGGAGCTTGGGCTCCTGATCTGTTAGACGGCTTGCCTCCGGACGTTCCCGTCCTTCCTTTTTCGGATTATAGTTCATCATTATTATCAGATTTTTATTACCCATATTTTCACTCGCCAACATCTGATCCAGTCTCGCATTAAGGATGATTTTCCGGACTCCCGAGCTCGCTCCTCAACATGTTAGTCTGCCCTTATGGCTATGGCGCTCTTCGTGAACGAACGCTTGTATTGGGCTCGACGAACCGAAGCGGCGGGGCGTTCGTTGCGTATGACTCGAAAAACCGTACTCTTGAAAGCTTTCCGGTTTGCCGTGTCCTTGGCTTCTCGGTAACACTGAGCATCCTCGATCTGGAGTCCCTCTCTCTGATATTTTGCACGTGAATCGGAGCTCGGGGACTTAATAGTGACGATCCCGGCACCGTCGGGCGATGAATCCACATTCGGAACTGATCGGAACGACGCGACGGAAGAAATCAAAAATCGAATTGAACCCGACTTCTCTGAGTGCTCCCGAGCAGCGCAAGCTCCCCCGGCGCTTGATTCAGCGGGAGCTCGGCGGCGCGCAGTCGCCACTGAAGACTCTCGTTAGTTCCGAATCAACTGAAGCTCGATCGACTCAATCGAAAGCCACCTCAATCATCGCCATTTCACTGTCGGGTAGAGCTCCCTCGTTCTCTGGCGCCGAAGTACCATTGCGGTGAGCATTTCGAGGAACGCACACGAGCCGTGCCGTCCTGTCCCTGGCCCCCTGTATACTCGTCAGGGACGCCACAATTGCAGGTTCTTACATCAAGGAATTCTCAAAAATGACCAGCCTCTTCATCCGATTGATTTTCGCGCATTTCTTTCCCCAATCCAGCGATTGTCACGGCAGGCACTCCTCGCTGGATTCCGGCAAAAAATGACATTGATCGAATACAGTCGAGGAGACTCGGGCATGAGAGGAGACCGGGTATGATAGACTCCTTCCGAATCCACTCGTGCTCCGAACCCCTGTCTCGAGTTTGAAGTTGTCGTTCATTCTTCAGAAACGCTTCTCTGACTATAAGAGTTCGCAATGTCGACTCGTAGTATCTGTTACCTAAAAGCCGCCCACGGAGCTGTAGCGACTCGATTTAGGGGAGCGTCGGAGGGAATTGAACCCGAATAGATGCGCCGCCAGACGCGATGCCGTTCCCTTGCACTCGTAGGTCGCTCCACGAGTCACCCTTGCCTTTCTTCCCCCAGACTTCGTTTCGGTCCACATTTGGATAATAGTATCTGCCCGCCTCACATGCGGCTGCACAGCTTTTATTGAGAGGATGGCCTCGGGTGCTCCTGTCTTTCCGGGCTCGTAGGATGTCCGTTTCACTCAAAACTAGTAATCAGAGTGCTTAGTGCTGAGCACTGAGATCGTCGTCGACGCGTCATACACGATTTAGGCGAGTAATTCAGCGGAGACAATGGGAAATGAACGTTGATAAATCATCCTCCGGACATGAGAGGGCACCGGACAGCAGAGAGGTTTTCCTTATGCTCCGGAGAGTCCCTTACAAGCGGGTTCGATTGTACACCGAAAAATCCGCTCTCCCGCCCCCTCGAGATCAGTGTAGTGATTCCGGGATCCTTCATGCAAGAGAGCATCCGCGAATCTCCGACCTGCCGGCGGAGTGCGACCCGGGTCCTCCGACAACTATCTAGAAGTGGGTGCTCAAGTCGATCCCGCAGCACTCACGCAAAACGATCCCGAGATGGGCCGCCCCGACCTTTCGACTGCCGAACCGCTCCGATCTTTCAACGACCGAACCGCTCCGTCGATGACAACCCCCCGCGAATTCTGACCGACCCCACTTCCGAGCCAGAACGGAGGCGGTACTCGAAAACCCTCCTCGAAAAGTAACTCGCCCGCACTACATAAAGGGACGACACAGCCCGTCTACAATTTCAAGCTCTAAATAGAGTCGCGAACCACAACGCTGTTCTCGCAACTCCTTCTCGAATAGCTCGACCATCCGCGA